GGGGGAGGCAAAGCGGGTTGTGAGGGATGTTTGGGATGGCGCCAGTGGCCCCACAGTCATGTTTCTGTGGTCCCAGAGGGAGAGGAGAGAGAATGGGATGCAAGTAATATTTCAAGAGAAAAAGATAAGAATAAACCAAAATCGATGACAGATTCTAGACGCTCAGTAAACCTAAAGCAGAATAAATACCCAGAAATCCACAATCTAGGCACATCCTACTTAAACAGCTGACAGCAAAAATGTTTCACAAGCAGCTAAAAAAAATGCATTATATTTAGGAGAACATCAATATGAATTTTAATTCTCTTCTTATTACTGTCAATAGTCCACAAGACAGTGCAATGACATCTTTAAAAGGATTTTAAAAAGCAAACAAAAAACTGTCAGTCTAAATTAGTATGTCCAGTGAACAACAACCACAACAAAAATACCCCCCTGAAAATGAATTAAAGACATATTCTGAAAGAAACCTGACAGAGTTTGTTGCCAGCAGATCCATAGTACTAGAAATGGCAAGGAAAGAGAAGAGAAATGCTATAGGAAGTTCTCAAAGCTGAGGGGAAATGACCTGTTGTGGATATACTTAACGTGCAGGAAGGAATAAAGAGCACAAAGATGGATAAAAACTATTTACTTACTTTCTGAAAAGATTGTTAACTTTTTTAAAGAAATAGCAATGATAACTATTGTGGAATGTAGACATGTGAAGAAGCAACATTATGATAATAATATAAAGAGGAAAGAGATTATACTCTTGTAAGATATTTACATTGTTGTGAAATTGTAACACACTAATTCAAAGTAGACAATAATAAATTATAGGTCTCTAATAATCATTAAAATATAATACAAGTTATTCCTTAAAAAATGATCAAGGAAAATACAATAATACAATGTTTTTTAAAATGTCACTTTGAATTTATGGTAATTACCATGAACTTTAAATCTAATGTTAAACCTAACCCCAAAGTGTTTTCCCTCCCTAAGTTGCTATGTAATACAATTGCATTCTGTTTTTCATGTAATGTTTTCCTGGTCTTGTTTTGAAATAAAAAAAAATACAAACAGCTGATGAAGCTTAAGCTCTTATTTATCCTAATATGGTGAGGTATGCAGCTACAGATTAAGGCTCATCAAAGTGTTGGATGAGCCTGAGGATCGCAATTATGTGATGCTTTAAGAATGGAAGGTCATGGTCTCCCAGCTCCACCCCGTGATGAGGGGGGAAATATTTAGATATCTAACTAAAACTGTGAGGACTCTTCCAAATGTGCCTGTCCCAGAAATGCTGTCTGTCCACTTTGGCCAAAAATGAATAGTGGATCATTGCAATTACAGCATTCTTCTGGCGGATTGTCTCAGATGAAACCAGGGTGTTAGTCAGATGCTCATGATCTGTGTTTCCCTTCTGACCCCCTGCCCTCAGCAGTTGTATGATGATCTGTTCCCTGAGGTTCATCAGTATACCCTCCGCATGAGCGCCGCACTGTGTCCTGTAACTCAGATCATCATTATTAGCCCTAACTACATCTGCTTTTCATCTTCTAAGATTCACTTATTGTGTCCCAAATTTACCACTTCTTCGAACATTTTCAGTGCTTGGGTATATCTGCATTTTGCTTAATTTCCAAGACAAATTATGCTACTCTATGCAGCTATTAAGATGATATATTTATATTGGCTGGAAAAGATGTCTATGACATGGTTTTGAGTGGGGGAGAGAAATCAGCTTATACAGCAGTGTTGATGTGGTACAGATAGGAGGAGAATTTCTGCTTTATGCAACAGTATGTTACTTAACCTTTTACACTTATTAATATACTGTATAAAAATTTTTAAAAACTACTTTTATGTATATGGTTAAAACTGTGTATTTATTCAAATTAAGTATATTAATGTTTTTAAAGAAATAAACCTAAAAAATCCAGAAGTAGAGGATGTTTGGGGCATCTGTAACCTTTTCTGAATATGGTACACAGAGGGCAGTCAGCGGTATGAGCAGTGGTGATTGGTTAAATTTATAAGAAGTAGGTATGTGTATATTCTAGAACTCTAGGAATTTGTTAGTAGTTTTCAGTATTAGTCTTGTTGCAAGAGGGAAAACGCTTAAGGCCTAAAACTAATAAAGAAAGCAATAACTGTCTTGTTACCTGTGTTGATTTAATCTATATTTCACCCACCAGAATGTGTCTTGTCAAACTATAAAGAATTGAGTCAAAAACTCTTATTACCTAATTATCAAACAAAGCAACTTAAAATTATTTTTATCACACAGCACAACTTATAAACATAAAAAAGGTGTTTCATATTTTCCTGAAATGCTTTGCTTTTTAAAAAAGATTTTATTTATTTTTAGAGAGAGGAGAAGAGAGAGAGAGGGAGGGAAAGAAACAGGCATTGGTTACTTCTCGTGCGCCCCCCAACCCCATCTGGGGACCTGGCCTGCAACCCAGGCATGTGCCCTTACTGAGAATCAAATTTATGACCTTTTGATTTGCAGGCTGGTGCTCAATCCACTAAGCCACAGAAGCCAGGGCTGAAACACTGTGGTTTTTAAAAATAAATTGACTATCTTGCTCTAGTTAATGTTCAAATCTAGAATTACTCTCAGTCTGGAACCAGAAAGTAAAACTTTCTGGTAAATGATAAAATTCCAGAAAGTTTTACTAAAGGTGGTTTAGAAACCTAGGATTCCTAGGGGTATGGGCAGTATGAGGAAAGAGACTTTTTTCTTATCTCCTTCCCTTTTTGTACTTTCATGAATATCAGTGTGCTTTATGTGTGCTATCAGACATGCTAAATATAAGACATGACTACTGCAGTTCCACATATCGAAAGTTAACTGTTCTCAGTCATAATGCCCGCAGTTGGACGTTTCTGTGCCATTACCTCTTTCTGTCTGAGTGTTTTTTGGTGGAGGGGCGGTGAAACAGCTCAGACCACACATTGGGTAAGAGGCAGTCTCATTCTTTTAGTTCAATTCCACCTAAACCCAAGGAGAGCAGGGTAAACTCAGAGATGCTTTGAAAGGAGTTGCATACTCATACCAAATAGGAAAATAAATCTAAAAACATGTAAGTACAAGAACAAAAGATTTTCTACATGAAGTTAATTATTTTTTGTTATTGGGGACTACCGTGTTCAGTTAAAAAAATTCTGCTTTTAGGAAGTGTAATATTTGTCAATCATAGATCATGGAAGTCAAATATTTAATTTTTTTTCTAGCTTTATTGAGATATAATTAACAGCATTGTGTAGGTTTAAGGTGTACAACCTGATGATTTGATGCACATGTATTGTCACATGATTGCCACAATAAGGTTAGTTAACACATGTATACCTTACATAAAAATACATAAACCACAAAATCTCTCAGAATTCCAACATTTTGACATATCTACCTTATGATGTCTCTTGTTTTTTAAACTAAATCATTAAACGTTATTATGTTCTAAATGCTTTACATGTGCTAATTCATTTAGTCCTTGCAGCAGCCCCGTGAGGAATGTGCCCCAGGAAGCTGCTCCATTCTCGGCATCTGTCTCCTAGATAGATGGTTGTCCAGTTGGCGAGTGATAACCGGAGCCTACCCTGCCCTTCTCGGTGATTGGTTCCCAGCCTTGGTGGTGATCCAGTTGTCCCTGAACTGACCATGGGTCTCTGTGCTCCAGGTTGATGCCCACTTCCCCATCCTAATATAGGGTTTTCCATTGAAGGTTATGGATTATTTTTTCTCACTATCTCATTATCTCAAAAGCCAATTTTTTTCCAATTTAAAAAATTCTAGCAAAATACACATAAGATAAAATTTACCCTCTTAATCATTTTTTAAAAAGCTACTTCAATGTTTTTTTATTTTTTAAAGATTTCATTGATTTATTTTTAGAGAAAAGAGAAGGAAGGGAGAAAGAGAGGGAGACATCAATGTTTGAGAGAAACATAGGTCAGGGACCAGGCCTGCAACCCAGGCATGTGCCCTGACCAGGATTCGAACTGGTGACCTTTCGTTTTGTGGGACAATGCCCAACACACTGAACTACTCCATTCAGGGCCCTCTTAGCCATTTTAAATGTGTATTAAGCATCAAGCCTATATTAAGTATTAAGTACATTCACATTGTTGTACAACCATCTCCACCATCCAGCTCCAGAACTCATTTCACCTTAAGAAAATAAGCCTCGGTTCACATTAAAATACCCATTCCCTCTTCTCTCAAGCCCCTGGAATCTGTCATTCTACTTTCTGTCTCTGTGAGTTTGACTACTCTAGGCACCTCATATAAGTAGAATCATACAGTCTCTTTTTATTGTGCCTGGTTTATTTCACGTAGCATAAATCTTTAAGTTTCATCCATGTTGTAGCAAATATCAGGGTTTCTTTCCTTTTCAAGGCTGAATAATATTTTATTGTATGTATTATGTCCCATATTTTGTTTACCTGTTCATTCATTAACAGATATTTGTGTTGTTTCTACCTTGTAGCTTTTGTGAGTAATGCTTCTATGAATACGAACATATAAAAATCTCTTTGAGATCTTGTTTACAACAGCTGAACCATTTTACATTCCTCCCAACAGTGAACCAGGATTCGCTTCTCCACATTCTCATCAACATTGTTGTTTCCTTTTCTTTTGTTTTGGGTGGGGGGCAATCCTAATGGATGTGAGCAGCCAACTTCTTACACCCTTCTCTATCGTCATCTTAGATACTTTACAGAGACATGCTATACATGTTTTGACTAATACAAATAACTTCCTACTTTATAAGTATATGAAAAGTATAAGAGTACTTCTGTTGTAAGTCTTAAATGACCACAGAGGCATTATGAATTATATAGAGTAAAAAAAAGGGGGAGGGGCACTACTGAACGGAGATTGTTCCTTCAAATCTCTCTCTACCACACTAACTCCATTTCTCCACGGCTTTAAACCTAAATTGAATTATGCAATTTATGCCATAGAAAACACTGATTTTTATTCACAGATATTATTCTTTCCTCAGAAAATCCATCCCTCGCTGCCAAAGAATTAACAGGATGCTCTCCAATGAATCCCTACATTCTCCTGCATTCAGCCGCTCCAACTCACAAGCCTCCGTAGACAGCGCCTCCATGGAGGATTTCTGCCGGGAAATAGAAAGCATTAAAGAGAACAGCATGGGAGGGCAGGACGAGCAGACACCAGCCGAGCTCAAGCCTGTGGATGGTAAGGTTCTAGATTCCCTTTCCTGTGTGCTGACTTACTATCTCAGTATGCTCTCTCTTGTTCTGTCAGCAGATAGAACTCATCCCATTAACAATTTAACAAATGAATTTAGTAGAATTCAGCATATCAGCCACCTGCTCCCATTGGTTTGTATCTACTGGACTGGTTCAAGGTAGATTCTGTTTAAGAAGACATGACCTAAAGGCAGGCTATCAACAAAATTCAAATTGACCTCTTACATATTGCTACTTAGGGATGCTGTGCCTATTAATTTAATTCAGTTTTAAAGACTCTGTAGTCCATTATCCCCCTCTAATGGGGTTAATTTTAGTTTTAGCAGGTAACTTGACTAGACCCATACTCCCAAGTCTGTCTTCCCTGCTCTATGCAGCATCTATATCTTGGTCATTCATTTAGCCTTCTAGCTGCTATATTTGATACAGTATTTCAATAAAATCAGTTTGAGTATTCTAACTTTGATGGCCTCTACATCTATGTACTTGACTATTAATTATGAAGACAGAGAGTGAAAGCAAGAGAAAGAGAGAGCGAGATGGAAAATACTGCCAATTCAAATCTTTGAAGTACCCTGGCTGGTGTGGCTCAGTGGATTGAGCCCTGGCCTGTGGTGAACCAAAGGATCACCAATTTGATTCCCAGTTAGGACACATGCCTGGGTTGTGGTCCAGGTACCCAGTAGGGGGCGCTTGAGAGGCAACCACACATCTATGTTTCTCTCCCTCTCTTTCTCCCTTCCTTCCCCTCTCTAAAAATAAATAAAATATTTTTAAAAATCTTTGAAGCGTTTATTGATAATAGTGTATTTAGAGAATGTATTCTTTTGTGCTACCTAAAATAAATACCATAAAAATGTACTAGTTTTCAGTAAAATTAAATAAAAGAAGGTTAAAGACCAAAATAAATGAAAATAGTAAGAGTGTAATTATCTTTAGTTTTCAAAAAGAGCAAGATTACTCACCTGGGATTAAAAGCATATGTCATTTCCTCCAGGTGCTACCTATCAACACGTAAACACATAACAACCAGGAAAGACTAAAGGTGGTTTAACTAGTAAGTATACACATAAGAATGTTTTCATTAGGCACATTATATATACACACATATATTTTGTATACATACACACATATACCTACACACATATGTGTATGTACCTATATATTTATACAATGTATATGTATATTACATACATACACATTTATATCTATATTTCTATAATTAGACATTGAAATATTTGAGTTCACACCTATACCTTCAATTTCAATATAATACCACTCAGTTCATTATACTGTTCTTCCTTAGCAGTTCTGACTTCCTTCTTAGTGAGAAAACTGGCCTTCATCATCTTAAATATATGCACTTACTTATACTTATTTGATCAGTGCCCCTGACAGTATGAATTTTTCTCTTCCTCTCAGGTTGCCCTTCTCATCGCAGGCTCCGACATCCCTAGATTACTCCTCTGCATGTGCCCCTCCCTTGCTCTGCTCCAACGGATGGCTTTAGGCTTTAAGACTAAATTTAGGGAGAAGAGACAGTGGCTATCTGTCTTTTAAAGAAATTAATATCCACATATTTAACATTTCTACTACTTTTTTTATATATTCAGTATCTATCTCATGTCTTTTCCCTTTAGCCTAAAAAGAGCTATCTTTAACATATTTTTACAGAGCAAATTTGCTGGTGATAAATTCTCTTCATTTTTATTCACTTGAAAATGACTTTTTTCCACCTTCATTCTTGAAGAGTATTCTTGCTGGATATCTAATTATTGTTTGACAGGTTTTTTTTTTCTTTCAGGATTTTAAAGATGTTATCTTATTGTCTTTTGACATCCATTATTACATTAAGGAGTTAATGTATTCATATTATTAAGGAGTTAATGTATTCATATTATTGTTCCCCTGTATGTAATGTGTTGTCTTTCTCTAACTGCATAAATTTTCTTTCTATCTTTGGTTTTCAACAGTTTGATTTTAAAATGCCTAAGTGCACTTTCTTTTGTATTTACTTGCTGAACTAGTTGGGTTTTCCACAAATTTTGGAAACTTTTGGACATTATTTCTTAAAAAATTTTTTTTGCACTACTCTCTCTCTCCTCTGAAACTTCAACTCTATGTGTATTACACAACTTAGCATTTCCCTAAGATCACTGGGGAATGTTTTAAATGTTTAAAATATTTTTCTTTCTTTTACATTGGGTAATTTCCATTGAATATCCAAGTTGAGTGGCCCCTTTACAGTTTCTAGTATGCTGTTAAGCCCTTTCAGCAAATTTTGTATTTAATATATTTTAATTTCTAGTTCTATAATTTAAATTTTAGTTCTTTTAGATATTTTTATACTTTCACTTTTGCTGTAATATACTGTGCACTCATCATGGGCATCTTTTCTTTTGTTTCTGAGTATAGATATAAAGGCTTCTGTAGTCCTTGCCCAACATCAGTTATCTGAGTCTATCAACTACCTTTCCTTGGGTAAATTAATCCATTTTTCTTTTTACTATATACTAGATATTATAACATTTTTGATAGTGTAATAATATTGTGACATTATTAATATGTTTTAGAGACTCTGGATTCTCTTATCTTCCTGTAAAGGGGGTTAATTTTAGTTGCAGCAGTTAACTTGATGAGACTCACACTCCTGAGTCTGTCTTCCCTGCCCAGTGCAGCATCTATAATCTTGGTCATTCATTTAGCCTGGTAGCTGCTGTTTTTCAATAGGTTGCCTGGTGTCTCTCATATGCCTTTTTAGTTTAAGGTTTAGTCAGTGATTTGGTCAGAATTTATGCACAGATTTTGGAGGTCTTTCCTAGGTGACTGTCTTAACAGGGATGTTTCCACTTTCCAGCTGTTCTAATAATCCCATACTCTATGCTCTGACTTCTCAAATAAGTAAAACTATGGTTTTCTATTTGAGTTCTAGCCACCTAGCACTGTAGGAATTGGAAAAGGACCTCAGTTTTAAAGTTGCATAAGTGTGACTCTTATGCAGTGCTTTTTCTTTTATCAAATTTAATTGTTTTTCAGTTCCTGCCTGCACTTGGTTCCTCTCCATTACCTTCAAATTTAATTATTTTATATACTTAGTTCAGAGTTCATAATTGTTATACACAAGCTACTCTACCTTTCCTGGAAGATTTTATTCCCTTTTAAATATGGTTCCCCAACAAACTTACTAATGTGGTGGATTAGCGCAGAATGGCACAACTTAGGCCCACTGTTGCATTTTCTGTTAAAGGGGATGTTTATAAAGCCAATGAACAATAAAAACAAGGATGTAAATAAAAGATTTGCCTAGCTAAGAAACTGGACCTGTGAAGCACATTGGAAGGCTTTGTTCACATACCAATGATGCAATAATGTAAGCATAGCCCAAGATTCCTAGACTGATATTTTGAAGAGGCTATTTACAAATCAGTCTAATCTGCTCTTTAGACAAACCCCATTCAGGAATGCTTGTTTAGCATAGTTCCCAAAATTGTACGTGCAGTGGATTTTCTATTATAAGATGTTGTTATTCGGAATTATTTATTATTTCTGTACTTCTGATTTACCACAGCAGTTGATTCTTATTATGACAGATCTTACATTTTTAAATTGCCTTCTGAAAAACAGAAAAATTACCTACTGTTTAGAATAAGGAGAACAGTAAAAGAACAAATATCTATTGAACGTATATTTTTACAACTGTGTTGATAAAACAATCCTCATAGCCACCTAATAATTTTGTTATTATTACCTCTATTTTGCCAAGAGGACACTGAGCCCAAGAGATATCTTAAAACTTTCCTTAGCCTTTCATCTAATAAATGGTAGCATTGGGATTTCAATCTGCCTTTGAGGGATGAAAACAGTGTTTTATGTGCTGTTAAACCCCTCTTTTTCTATTATGGTTTTAGTTTAAATATTCATATTTTATCCTTTTTTGAATTGATAGTCCAGATATGGCTTATATTTAACTGTCTGACAAGGAAAAAGGCATTTTTCCTTACCCAATCTGCCAATTAACCTTACTGTACTAGAAAACACTTTAAAATTTGACTTATTTGAAAAATGAAATACAGACTTTTATTCATTTTATAGGTCTTTTCCATAACTTTGAAAAAGGACCATCTTAATATATTGCTTACTGATATTTCTTATTCCCTGATGTGCAAGACCTAGAGATATACACGTCATCCAATTAGACAGAATATTCTAACCTTTTATTGGTCATGTCATTTTACAGAGGGGGAACTTGAAGCAGAGTGGTTGCAAGATGTGGGTTTATCAACCCTCATCTCAGGTGATGAAGAAGAGGATGGCAAAGCCTTGCTCTCCACATTGACTCGAACCCAAGCAGCTGCAGTGAAAAAGAGATACAATACTTATACCCAAACCATGAGGAAAAAGAACAAGCAGTCCATCAGGGATGTCAGAGACATCTTTGGCGTCAGCGCCTCTCCTGTAAGTAACCAACATAGCTCAAAGGTTTGGTTTGGTTTGGTTTGGTTTGGTTTGGTTTGGTTTGGCTAATTGGGGGTGGAGGGAAGGGGAAGGAGTAGAATAAGAAGAGTATCAGAAAAGGCCATTCACTCACTAGATTTTAAAGAAAACTAAAGACAGCATGATCCAAATTTTTACAAATTTGAAACTTAGGCTATCATTCCTTATCTCCCATTCAGCAATCTCCCTCAACACTAAATGCATTCCCTTTTTCATTGACTTATACAATAACTTTTTGGCATGGAGCAAGTCTTTGTGGATGGGATACACAGAGCTTTTAGTTAAATCTAAGTGCTAAATGGAAACAGTTGCAGGATTTCTGTGAAAATGGCCCCAGTATTACAAGCAAGTCTGGGTGGTTTGTTTTAAATGGGGGCGGGGGGGCGGGGGGCGGGCGGCGGGGGTGGGGGGGCGGACGTGGGTGAGTGCCTAGGGTAGCCTTTGTGGTCAAATAAATTAAAAAGGTAAAAAATCAAAAGATATGAGCATTAATTAAGTAGGAGAGAGAATGACTCATAAAAAGCATAAGGGAAACATCACATGTTTTATAAGGAACAGCTGGTTGAAATTTCAGCTTACCTTGAGCAGCTCCACAGCCTTTTGTTTCTGAAGCTGTTCATCGTGTTCTGCTGTATGTTTGTTTCACTGTGTGCTCTGCCTTACAACTCATTTATTCATGCATTCATTGCATCCTTGCAATGTGTGTTGCATAACTGAGTTATTGATGCAACAAATAGTGATTGGACACATTTTCTGTGAAAGGTCCTATATTAAGTTGTATGCAGATAGGATTCTTGGAACTTGGGGGATAATTCGTATATAGGTAAGGGAGACTAGATATTCTGCTGCAGTTTCAAAAAAGTTGCCTGAGGCAGATTAGTTAATCACTCTGATTTAGGTTATCCACCTGTTTAACTGTAATATCAATAATGACATAATTTTTAAAATTTTATTGATTATGCTATTACAGTTGTCCCATTCCCCCCTTCATTCCCCTCTACCCTGCACACCCTCTCCCACCCACATTCCCCCCTTTAGTTCATGCCCATGTGTCATAAGTTCTTTAGCTTCTACATTTCCCATACTATTCTTGTCCTCCCCCTGTCTATTTTCTACCTACCATCTATGTTACTTATTCTCCATACCTTTTCCCCGTCTCTCCTCCTCCCACTCCCCTGTTGCTAACCCTCCATGTGATCTCCATTTCTGTGGTTCTGTTCCTATTCTAGTTGTTTGCTTAGTTTCTTTTTGTTTTTTTTAGGTGTGGTTGTTAATAATTATGTTTGCTATCATTTTACTATACATGTTTTTTTATATTCTTTTTCTTAGATAAGTGCCTTTAACATTTCATAAAGTAAGGGCTTGTTGATGATGAACTCCTTTAACTTGACCTTATCTGAAAAGCACTTTATCTGCCCTTCCATTCTAAATGAAAGCTTTGCTGGATAGAGTAATCTTGGATGTAGGTCCTTGCCTTTCATGACTCGGAATACTTCTTTCCAGCCCCTTCTTGCTTGTAAGGTCTCTTTTGAGAAATCAGCTGACAGTCTGATTGGAACTCTTTTGTAGGTTACCTTCTCCTTGTCTCTTGCTGCTTCTAGGATTCTTTCCCTCATTTTAATCTTGGGTAATATAATTATGATGTGCCTTGGTGTATTCCTCCTTGGGTCCAACTTCTTTGGGACTCTCTGAGCTTCCTGGACTTCCTAGAAGTGTATTTCCTTTGCCAGAATGGGGAAGTTCTCCTTTATTATTTGCTCAAATAACTTTTCCACTTGTTGCTCTTCCTCTTCTCCTTCTGGTATCCTATAATTCGGATGTTGGAACGTTTAAAGATGTCCTGGAGGTTCCTAAGCCTCTCCTCTTTTTTTGAATTCTTATTTCTTCATTCTTTTCTGGTTGTATGTTTTTTTCTTCCTTCTGGTCCACTCCATTGATGTGAGACCCAGCTTTCATTCCATCACTATTGAATCCCTGTGCATTTTTCTCCATTTCACTTATTGTAGCCTCCAGTTTTTCATCTAATTTGTGACTAAAATGAACCAATTCTGTGAGCATCCTCATCACCAGTCCTTTGAATTGTGCATCTGATAGGTTGGCTATCTCTCAGTCACTTAAAAGTACTGGTTCTGGGGCTTTCAATTCTGTTTGAGCCATGTTTTTTTCTTTTTCCCTTTGGTCTGGTCGCACCTGTTATGTATGGGGGTGGAGCCTTAGGTGTTCACCAGGGCAGGGCACCCCAGTCATTGGGTTGTGATGTTGTATGTGGGGCGGGGTCGAGCAGGAACAATGGCACTTGCTCTGCTCTCCGTGGGACCTCAGTCCCTTCCGCTGCTTCCCCCAAGCAAACTGGTCCCCTCTGGTGCCAATTCCCAGGTGGCTGGGCTTGTGCACACCGTGGGACCCTCCAAGGATCTCTCCTGTGAGGCTGGGAGTCTCTCCCAATGCCTCAACCCCCACAGGTGTTTTCAATCAGTGCCCCAACACTCTATTTTCCAGCGCTGTGATCCTGGGTTGCGCGCAGTGCCTTGCTTCACAATCACCACCTCATTGGGTCTGCCAGTTGCCACCCCTCAACTGGGGTCTGCCAGGTGCCACTTGCGTGCTCAGGATCCACCTGCTGCGGTATTGCGCACCCTGGATGCCTTACGTGCCTGGTCCCAATGCCCTCTACTCTCCTCACCAAGACCCGGACCCGGCTGCCCAATTCTGCCCCTTCTACTGGTCTGGATGAACATGTCTATTTTAGAATGTGTTCTTGGTTGTCCGACTTCCATTCAGATCAATTTTCTGTCAGTTCTGGTTGTTATTCTGTTTCTAAATTGTTGTTGTCTCTATCTTGGTTGTTCGAGGAGGCACAGTGTGTCTGCCTATGCCTCTATCTTGGCTGGAAGTCAATAATGACATAATTTAAAACCTCAAGGATCTTGGGTAGCAAGCATAGTTGAAGACAGTTTCCCACTTGAGTTACTTTAGGTTGTCTGTAAGTCATATCTTCTCCTAGATATATTAATCACATTGAGTAGTGGCCAGAGCAGCTCACATACACTTAGTTAACCTTTGCATTTGTGCTAATATTGTCCTAGAATGGCACTAGCCTTTAGAACTTGCTACAGTGATAGAAATGATGTACTTCTGTGCTGTCCAATATGATAGCCTGCATTTGAAATACAGCTGGTGTGAATAAGGAATTGAATTTTTAATTTTACCTAATCTTAATTGATTTAAATCTAATTAGTTACACTTGGCCTGTAGCTAATGAATTGAAGAGCACACTTCTAGAATCTTCTGTATATAATGATACACTTTGAGGTACGTGTGTTTAGAGTTCTGTGCTGTTTGAACTTTCAAACTACTTGAAACCTGTGTCTTCTGGTTGGTGAGATATCCTACAGCTGTAATCAAGTAAATAAGAGGGATGCCCACAACTTCAGGCAAGGGCTCCAGCCACAAGTTCCTGGCTGAGATGTCTACCAAAGAAGTCTTACCCTGCTGATTTAAATTCTCTGGGTCATTTTCAGTGTTCTTCCAGATCATCTTGAGAGAGTCATGAGACTTGGGCTATATGGTTTCTTTCCCACTTCCGTTTACAGCTACTTCAGACAAAGTTTGTTGCTCTTTGCTAGCAAACTACAAAATAGGAAAGGGTCTACTGGTTTCTCCCAAATTCTCCAGTTACTTAAGAAAACACAAAAGTAGCCTCTTTAGAGTTCCTAAAAAACTGGCTGTTTAGTGAAATAGAAACAGGGAGGCAAAGGGATCTTTTTGTGCTCCTCCCCTTCTTTTACTTAGATCCTGAAGGGAAACATAAAGTGGGCACTTGCCCATTGGGGCTTTAAGTGTAAAAAGAAAGGAAAAGTCTTTGACTTTTCCATAATGCACAGGTACAATGAACTGTTGGGTGTTCAACTCCAGCAAAGGCAGAGACAGGGCCTACGACAGTGCTATTGTGGGGACAGAGGCAGCCTGGGGAGGGCAGGGGTGGCGCTTCCTCCTGCTGTCTTCCTCTTCTCCTCTTCCGCTCTTGCTGCTGAAGTGCCAGGAATGGAGAATGGAAATGAGGCAGGGAGAGCAGTTGCAGGTACTTAAGACCAGGTGCTCAAGGGGGAGAGGTCTTGTGCTGTCCAGGCAAGTGGAATGTCTGAAAGTCAGTGAAAGCCTGGCATTATATACATTGCTTAAAAATTCAGTTTGTTCTTGGTTCAATTATAAAAAGCAGTATTTTTAAAAATATTGTACATTTACAATATATAAAGCCTAATAATCACCCTCACAGATTTTCAAAAAATCAGCATCTGTTTCCCCAAGTAAAGACATGTGAAAGTCTTTTAGGAACGCACCTAAAATTTTCAGTTTCCTATTTAAATTTGACAGCATAAACACCAATTCCTCCCTCTCCTTTTTCTCCAAATATCTGTCTTGGTCTGTCTCTTGCGAATGTGCTTTTCCTTCTCCTCCTCTTCCTCTTCTTTGTCTCTCTGTCTCCCTCCCATTATTTCCTACTACTACTTTTTTTCTACTACTATTTCTTTCTTTCTTTGGCATCATTAATCTACATTAATAGAATAATTACCTAAATTTTTCCACTTCACGTTATAATTTTTGTAAGGTAATTTTGCATCAATCTTAGCCATATGAATTTGACCCAGCAAACTTACCTAGTGGAGATATAAACTCAATGACTTGAAAGATAAATGTGTAGATTAAACTAGTTTTTCTTTTAATTTTTTGCACATAGAAGCCCACTCTGAAAACCATTTTCCTTCAGAATTTTGAAGGTGCTTGTCCATCAGCTCCTCTCGGGCACCACGGCTGCAGTGTGTGTATTATTCGCACTTCGTTACATGCAGATATGGAGGCTTGTTTCACATTTTATTTTTATCATTGGAACCTTGAAAGTTTTACCTGTTTTACCATTTTGAAAAATTCATCGTGGTCACTACTAAGTGAGCTCTTCCAATATAACAGCTCATTTATTCTACAAGTTCCACATGTTTTTTCTAACATTTAAAACAATACTGATTCCATTCAAATTCTCTGTTATCTCCTTGTAAAATTCCTGTTAGATAATTGTTGCAATGTTTGGATTGAATCTCTCTTTCTCCTAAATGTCCCCTTATATATTCCAAGATTTGTTTTGCATGTATGTTTGGTCTACATTCTTGAATATCCCTTCAATATCACTTTTTATATTAGTAATATGCTGTTATTTTAAAATATATTTTATGCTATTACAGTTGTCCCATTTCCGCCCCCCCCCCCTTATTCACCTCTGCCCTGCACACTCCCTCCCACCCACATTCCCTCTCTCCCTGTTTTCATGTCCATGGATCATACATATAAGTTCTTTGGCTTCTATATTTCCCATACAATTCTTAACCACCTCCGCCCCCATCCCCTATTTTTCTACCTACCATTTATGCTACTTATTCCCTATACCTTTTCCTCCATTCCCCCCTCCCCTTCCCTGCTGGATACCCTCCATGTGATCTCCATTTCTGTGATTCTGTTCCTGCCCTAGTTGTTTGCTTAGTTCATTTTTGGTTTAGGTTTTTTTTAGATTAGGTTGTTGATAGTTGTGAGTTTCTTGTCATTTTACTGTTCATATTTTTGATCTTCTTTCTCTTAGATAAGTCCCTTTAACATTTCATATCATAAGGACTTAGAGATGATGAACTCCTTTAACTTGACCTTATCTGCAAAGCACTTGATCTACTCTTCCATTCTAAATGAGAGCTTTGCTGGATAGAGTAATCTTGGATGTAGGTCCATGTCTTTCATGACTTGGAATACTTCTTTCCAGCCCCTTCTTGCTGTAAGGTTTCTATTGAGAAATCAATAGAGTCTTGTGAGAACTCCTTTGTAGGTAACTGTCTTTTTTTCTATTGCTGCTTTTAAGATTATCTCCTTATCTTTAATCTTGGGTAATGTAATTATGATGTGTTTTGGTGTGTGCTTCCTTGGGTCCAACTTCTTTGGGACTCTCTGAGCTTTCTGGGCTTCCTGGAAGTCTATTTGTCAGATTGGGGAAGTTCTCCTTCATTATTTTTTAAAATAAGTTTTCAGCTTCTTGCTCTTCCTCTTCTCCTTCTGACACCCCTATGAAGATGTTGGAACGTTTAAAGTTGTCCTAGAGGTACCTAAGCCTTTCCTCATTTTTTTGAATTCTTGTTTCTTCATTCTGTTCTGGTTGAATGTTTATTTCTTCCTTCTGGTCCAAACTGTTGATTTGAACCCCGATTTCCTTCCCTTCACTGTTGGTTCTCTTTACTTAACTTTTCATAACCTTCACTTTTTCCTCTGTTTTGTGAACATACTCAACCAATTCTGTAAGCATTCTAATTACCTGTTTTGAATTGTGCATCTGATAGGTTGGTTATCTCTCCGTTGCTTACTTGTATTTTTTCTGAAGCTTTGATTTGTTCTTTCATTTGAGTCTTTTTTTTTTTTTGTCTGGGTGTACCTGTTACGTAGTAAGTGGTAGAGCCTTAGGTATTCACCAGGGCGGGGCAACCCACATTGCTGCGTTATGATGCTGTATGTGGTGGAGGGGTCCAAGAGGGAACAATTTGGCCCACTCAGCTCTCTGCCAGCTTTCAGTCACTTCCCCTGCTACCCACAGGCAAATTGGGCCCTTCTGGTGCTGATTCCCAGGTGGATGGGTTTGTGTACGTCCTAGGACTCTCTTGGTCTCTCCAACAAACTCTCCTGTGAGGCTGGGAGTTTCTCCCGCTGCTGTCTCAAACCCCACAGGTTTTTTCAGTCAGAGGTTTGAGGCTTTATTTCCCTGAGCTGGAACCCTGGTTGCATGGTCTGTCTCACTCCTCAGTTGTTCCTCCCCATTTATCTGCACTCAACCGTGGGACTCCCTGCTCTGCCAGCTGCCGCCTTGACTTCCCTGGTCCTCCAGCCCCCACCTTGCCACAAGTCCTCTCCTCCTGGCTGCCTGTCTCTGCTCCTCCTAGTGGTCTGAATGAATGTTCCTTCTTTAGGTCCTTGGTTGTCAGACTTCTGTACATTTCAATTTTTTTGTCAGTTCTGGTTGTTTTTTTGTTTTTGAATTTGTTGATCTTTTGGTTGTGCAGGGAGGCAAAGTGTGTCTACCTACACTTCCATCTTGGCCAGAAGAATATGCCTTTATTTTTTAAAATTTAACAGTTATATTGTTAATTACCCACAGGCTCTCCTTGCCCCTGATTTTTCCATTTTTTAGCCATCCGTTCTTGTTTCTTGGCTGCAGTAGCCTCTCAACACTCTGAAATTACTAAATTAAAACCTAAATTCCAGAGTTCTTATTTTCTTTAAATTATCTGTTTATTTCAGGGTTAAGTGTTTTTTTTTGGCATCATCTTTCTCTTTCACTGCTATTCAATTGATTTTGACCCCTGGGTGTTGATTGATATTTATTTACAGAGGACTATATTGATTGATTAGTAAAGGTTATGGCTATATATTTCCTATGCAGTTATGTAAGCCTGTTTTATCTCCAGAGATCCCTTGTAATAGGAGTCTGGGTATCTGTGAATGGTGAAGTGTGTCCATGTCAACTGTCACATTTCACTTTAAGAGGCAAAAATATGCCATCAGTGTCAAAGTAAAAAGAGTCCTGCAGAATCCTAACCAATTTTCCCATCAGGCAAGCCTAACTTCCCTTTTTATACTCCTGCCCATATCCTTTTACAAGTCCTCAGTGAAGTGCAGTTCAACTCTCTTTTTGTTCAAGACAACCACGCACTTGGTAGGACAGCCACCACCATCCCCAAGGCAGGTGGCCACTCTGACACCAAGAGGACAATTCTAGGGTTTTAACCTAGAATCACATTTAGCTGTTACCTATTGCTCAGTGTCAGAGAGAAAAAAGGTCTCCTGGCCTCTCTGTTCAGAAAAACATTCTTCAGTTACTTTGTTCATTGTTTTCCAAATTGAGGGATGACTATGTGCTTTTTATTGTTGTTGTTGTTCTTACTAGGAGATTTTTTCTGGACCAGCATTTGTCTGCTACACATTTTCCTCTTGTACCTTTTTTTTTTTTCAGGCTGAGGTTTTTCTCTATTCTTATCAAACCATTCTTGCTTGCTTTTTATCTTCCAGGAACATTCAACAATTTCTGTTCTTCTAGTGGAAATGTTAATGGTTTCTAGAATTACTCTATGGAAAAGGTATCTCTCTTGACACTTTGAGTGATTTTCAGGGGGAAGAGAAAGTGGTATGTGTATTTTGTTATCTTGATCCAATTTTCTCATGCTAGTAAGTAGTATTGTTCCTTCCCAAAAATGTTTCTTTTTCCTTATTATAAAAGTAATACATAATCTTTACTGGAAACTTAGAAAATATAGACAAGGAAGGTAAAAAAAATGACTATTTCTATGGACCCAAGTAAAATTTTATGATTTCATTAAATATCCAATAAATTTTATTTTCAATGGAGTTCTTACCATAAAGGAATAGAATATTCAACCTTTGTTTTAGTAGAGCCATTATACACTAAGTCACAAATACTAAATCAACCTTTGGATACATAACACAAGGTCTGTAGTCTTTCTCATCATGAATAGAATTCCAGTACCCAGATACATTTTTATAGTAATCAGAATACGTGAACCAAGTATTTTTTTAATTGAGCAAAATAGACATTCTAATTTATTTCTAATTTCATTATTGATAACTGTTAAAGGTGGTACTGACTTATAATTGACTGTAAAAGTGGGTCATATATCCTGTTTTAAGAAAAATATGATTGATTACATCACTTATATACATTTGACAACATTTAACTGAAAACCCCAAAAATCATGAGTTGTACAAATATAGATGTTTGTTTTTCTCTCTTTAAGAAGATAAGGTAAGTGTTCCTTTTCCTTAGCATTGACCCAACTTCCTTTTGCATTTCTATTTTGTCTTTTATATGAGGCCTTGGTCCTATTGCTTACAAGTTGATTTGGCCACTACAGGCACCATGTCTATGTTCCTGGCAGTTCCTGGAACTTGTACCGACTGCTTCTGTCCCTCTGGCCTTCCTTTCCTGGAAATCTGATATGGTAGAATTCCATTTACTACCTGTCATCCAGCACTGTTAAATGAACATCTTTAAGTTGCAAGAAGGCCTGGAAAATCAAATTTTTTAAAGATGGACACAAAAACTTCTAAAAATGTATTAGTATGCTATTAAGGAATATAGGTGCCTAAGTGAGGGGTAGGCAGTTGACAGCATCTGGTCTCCACAGAGACCAGTGTCTATCATCATCCTGGCAAGTATTAGCTGATAAATGACTGAATGCAATGATCAGTGAATGCAGGCAGGTCATTTGTATGTAGAGCTCCACAAATATGTATGAATGTACACGTATTATACATACCACATAACTGAATGCACATTGGCCTTTGGGAGAATATGCCTGAATAAAAATGCACTTTCACTTTTTTTCAATAGCCAGATGATTTTTCCTGTATCCCAACTCCTCTTTTGGATGCAACCCTGGATGAAGAAGGGCTGTCAGCAGTTCCCTCCAGAAATGGCCTACTGGTAAGATAAAGCAAGGGGGATTAAGAGTAAGGAGACTGGGAAAAAAAAGTAATTAGTTCAAGGCAGTCAGGAATACTTGAGAAAAAAATCCCTGTTTGTAACAACAAAAAAGAGACTCAAACCACAAATAACTACATGGCCTACCTATATCTACAACATGGAAAACAACCACAGCTCTAGCTACAGCCACAGCCATGTCAGAATGTGGGGGAGGTCATTAGCTAAACTTCTGTTCTGTTTGTTGAGTGAATAATGGAAAATCTTGCACTACCCTCCATGTAACTTTCAATATTAATGTAATTCTCACTATAGGAAATATTTAGACATTTCAGTTATTTTTTAAATGTAAATATCTGGGGGACAGAAGCACAACAGCATCTTAAATGTACAGCAGTAAGTGGGAAAAAGTGCAGCATCTAGCACAGGGGTTTAGACATTTTTCATGTCACAGGAGGTGAGACATTTCATTAGAGTGCACTTTTTTCATTTTAGTCCAGAGTTTCAAAGAGAGCAAATTGAAGTTTATAACTGCCAGTAAAACTGTCTCAATAGACAGCTTTATTTTTGTGAGATGAGTTTATCCCATTGTGATCTGTACCACTTGGCAGGAGACTTGGGTCCTTTTTGAAGTCCTTTTTGCACCCCAAGTAGGAAAAGTAGAAAGGTCATGGGTTTGCTGATATCTTTCTCCATTTGGACTCACAGCTGCAGAGCATTTGCAGTGGGAGACTTTCCTTTTACGCTTTAATATGTTTCCTTCTCTTTAGCTCAGTTTTTTTTCTTCCTAACAGAAGAAGAGGGATCTTTGCTAGTCTAAGAATAACCCTTGTATCACCTTTGATCTGATGAAGATGATGATGATGATGTTCAGTTTTTTAGTTTCTATATAATCTATTTTCATCTTATGTATATTTTGCATGGGGCACTCTATCATGGGTTACTTTTGGTCCCTTCCAAAATTCTTTTGCAGGGTTTGGATGTGAACAGTTTGTATTCTGGTTGCCCGTCATTTACTGAGAGTAAGCCAAGGGCGGAGGTAGAGGAGGTTAGGGCTGTGAGCCATCCTGTTTTGCAGATTTTTGTCTCTAATTTTTTTCTAATTTTATTGTATTTCTCATAAGAGAGCTCTTTCTAGTCAGAGGTTTTTACATTTTCTGTTGAGTTAGAAACAGGCCTCATGTGGCCTTCTCAGTGCAAGGAGTCTTATATACCCCACTTGTAACCAGGAACTTGACCCAAAGTATTTATTCCTCTCTTCCTACCCCATTTTCCTTCACAGCAGCCACTGCCTCTTCCCTCAGCCAGAGGAAGAACAAGTCAGAGTAGACACTGGCCTCTTTCCAAATAATGGGTTTCTATGAGCCTTTACCCCACCTGACTCTACCTACATTTTGATTGCCTCCCATTTACCTCACAGGTGAGGAGGTTTTCCTACCCTAGGGCTATAGGGATGGCCAAACACATGACACCTGGCACTTGACAGCAACTTATGAGTCACATATTCTCACAGCCTGCGGGTGGAGGACACCACACAGAGCCACAGGTGGGGTGCTCTCAGGGCCTAGTGAACAAGCCAGACTGCAGGAGGCATGCTTTGTAGTAACAAGAGGGTTGGGTGCCCCCTGGCTCCCAGGGGAGGATGTGATTGGCTTGTTTGAATGAGTTCACAGGCTGGAGAGGAACTGAAACCCACTACTCAAGGATAATGAGGAACTGTGTCTGGTCTCCTGGATCGGGAGCGTTGTCTGGCTGGGGAACCTTATGTACAGAGGCAGAATGGGAGGGGAACTTGTGGTCAGGCCACTCATGGCCTCCCCGATTTTATCAGCTGTCCAGGCAGCACAGAACAGCTGGCCTTACGTTAGGTCTTACGCCACACCCCTGACACTTCCACCCCTAGCCGTGGACTCTCATGAATAGTCTGTATTCATTTTATTTCTTTTCTCTTTTCTCACTTTTATCACCTTTTATTTCAATTTCTTGAAGGTCTTATCTCCTTTTAAAGGTTAATCAGGGTCAGGTGTGGTGCCAAGACGTGAAGAAACTTCTCCCTGAGATGGAAGAGAACATTTGTTTTACCCTAGCCATACCCCTGAACTGCTCACAAGTTTACAGAATGATAAAGCAAGTACACCTGACTCATGAATGTAGAAGTGAGCTCGAGCCACTCGAACTCCTGTGGTTCAGGGGTCAGTTGTACTGTTCTTTCTCACAGCGGGGTCATGAGGCTAGCATTACAGAATGACTACAGAGAGCAGTCAAAATATTAATCTGTGTAATCACTCATATTACAAAATATTACATCTTCTTAGCAGATTCAGCCTTTTATCCTTGGAGCATATCTGGCAAGAAATATCTCTGGATACTAAATTTTCATATCTAAAGGCTTAAATCCTAACATAGTGAGTGTCAAAATGTTAGACCCTAAGTCAGTTTCTTTAAGATATATGTAAATACTCATCTATTTGCTTTTACATAGAGGGTCAGTATTGAGAAGTCTGATGCCTCTCTAAATCTTATTCCTCTATGTATATCCTGTTCTTATTTTCATATTTCCTGAAGATTTTTAGGATTATTGTTATTGTTGGAGACTTGAACTTTCATCAGGATATAAAATCATTTCTTTAATCATGATTAGCACTCAGTTTTTTTGTTTCTGTAAATGTTCCTTTTAGTTCTGAACATTCTCTTCCAATCATTTCTCTAATTATTTTATTTTTCTCATTTTCTCTATCTTTTCTTTCATTGCTTTAATTAAACTCACATATCTCTTAAATTTTCTTTTATATTTTACCTATCTTTTTTGTTTGTTTTGTATGCTGGTAATGATTTTGTGTACATCATTTTATAGATCCCTAATTTTAATATTTGCCCTGAGTAGTTATAATTTAACTGCCATTAATTTTTTTAATTCAGCAATTAAATTCTGTTATTTCACAAGAACTCTTGCTGTTTAAATGACTTCTCCTTTATTATTATAGTTAGCTTCTGATTTATGGATACAATAGCTTCTCAAATCCCTGTGAAATTATTAAATCATTATAAGCTGCCTTCTCTTCCTTCAGTTATCTCTTTCTCCCAGACTGTTTATCACTACATGTCTTTTTCAGGATGTTAATTTTCTCCATGGCTGACTTTTTATGTTGATTTTCTCCAATGACTGATGATATTTGGTGATTAATTTATATTTATTAATGAACTAGGTTGATTTTTCAATGATTTATGATATGTCATTGCTATATTATTTCCTGCCATTACATAGATTTTTCCAATAATTCTTTCTTGAATAAGAGGGAAAGCTTTGGGTACTGTATACGTAAATCAAGTATGAGAACGGTGTGTAAATGGAAGTTAAACAACACACCTGCATTAGTACACACACACACACATCTTCAGTGCCAAAGGGAGAGCAGTGAACAACTTTATTTTCTATCCTAGACAAAGCTGATGTTTTCCTTTTATTCTCCCATCCATCTTTTGTGGAGGTTCAGAATAACCTGATTAAATTAAAGTCTTGTTTTGGTCCCAACACTGGACATCTTACCAAGGCAGATAGTTCCTTCATTTAGAGTGCTTTTCTTGGGTTCATACATAGCTCCTGCCTGCTGTTTAGTATAAAAAGGGCTGTGGGGAGGTCAGCCTAGCCCCTCTTTTGAGAAAGCACTTTACAATAAGTTATCCTGGCTGTTACCCTCAAGCCCCTCACTGCCCTTTGTAATTTTCACTCTCAGCTTTGTTGTTTATTTGTTTTTTTGTGGATCCCTCCTTTCCATGACAGCAAGGTTGTCTTATGCTGCTTAGTCTGAGAATTTCTGTACAGTTATGAAATAAATTGCTTACATTTTAATTTCAGGAATTTCTAACAAATTCTGATCTGTTATTAGAACACTTTGTTGGTTTCCAGTGCCGTTTGCAGCTTGTTCTTTTTTTCCTCAATACAACAACATAAACATTAATTTATTTATTTTGTTGTTCAAGTACAGTTGTCTCCATTTGTCCCCCACCACTCTTCCCTGTCACACACACCCTCACCTCCCACCCTCAATCCTAACCCCTTTGGCTTTGTCCATGGGTGGTTGATGACCCTTCCCCTTAATTCCCCTGTTATCTGCCTCTCCCCACCCCTCAGTTTACTGTCAATTTGTTCTTTATTTCAATGTCTCTGGTTATATTTTTCTTGCTCGTTTGTTTTCTTGATTAGGTTCCACTTATAGGTGCGATCATGTGGTGTTTGTCTTTCACCACCTGGCTTATTTCATTTAGCATAATGCTTTCCAGTACCATCCATGCTGTCGAGAAGTGTAGGAGCTCCTTCTTTCTTTCTTTCTGCTGCATAGTATTCCATCATGTAAATGTATCATAGTTTTTTGATCCACCCATTTACTGATGGGTATCTAGGTTGCTTCCAGTACTTGGCTATTGGAAATTGCACTGCTGTGAACATTGGGGTGCATAGGTTCTTTTGAGTTGGTGTTTTAGGGTTCTAAAGGTATAATACCAGCAGTAGAATTGCCGGGTCAAAAAGCAGTCCCATTTTTAGTTTTCTGAGGAAATTCCATGTTCTCCACAGTGGCTGCTCCAGTCTGCATTCCCACCAACAGTGCACTAGGGTTCCCTTTTCTCCACAGCCTTGCCAGCACTTGTTTGTTGATTTGTTTATGATTGCCATTCTGACTGGTATGAAGGGTATCTCCTTGTGGTTTTAATTTGCATCTCTCTAATGGCTAGTGATGCAGAGCATCCTTTTATATGTCTCTGGGCCCTCTGCATGTCTTCCTTGGAGAAGTGTCTGTTCAGGTCCATTGCCCATTTTTTAAATGGGTTGTTTGTTTTCCTAGAGTGGAGTCATGTGAGTTCTTTATATATTTTGGAGATCAAACCCTTGTCCAAAGTATCATTGGCAAATATATTTTCCCATATGTTTGGTTCCCTTTTCATTTTGCTGATGTTTTCTTTAGCCATGCAGAAGCTTTTTACTTTGATAAAGTCCCATTTGTTTA